TCCAATACTGTATTTTTCATTCCATTTTATAGGACTAATAATAGTTTTTGAAGTTTCGGGATTCGAATGAAAAATCATTCTGCAAAAAGCCGAAAATAGCCTCGGATAACATTCTTCCGGTTGCTATCAATGTCAGGTCGAACCAGTGTAGAAAAAAAAAAATTTTCCCGCGAACCTAAGGCGACAAATTGGAAATTTCCGGGAAAGAAATGCAAACGGACTAAGCGGGCTGTCCATCCTCGCGTCTGTTCCCGCTAACCTCGTTCACAGGTTCGTAAGAGTTTTCCTAGCCCGGGCCGAACATATTTATTCGTGAGAACATCTGGAAGCAAGTCCGAGAAAAGTTCGGCGAAAAATGCAGAGACCAAGCTTTCTTGGCGATCGACGAGGAAACAACCTTCGAGCGACGAGTCCCAGTAGGAAGTCATTGATGTCTTCAGGCAGCGGTGGACGGTTTTTTCTGCTTTTCTTTCCCCCCCAAATTTTCCAAATGGGACGGACTAAGTGGACTCTTTTTTTTTCTCCTGCTATATTTGGGTGGTAACGATGGCTGCCTCCGCTAGGAGTATGTGCTAGTACAAATAGAAGGAGAGGTCCACGTAATCACCCTCCTCTCTGCGCTTTCGCTAGACGTACCTCTCCAGAGCTTGCTTCGGTCGGGTTCTGCGAGAGGATATTATCATGTACTTCCTCCTCCTCCCCTTCTTCCCCATCGCCCCCTTGTCCGACGAGTTGGATTTGGTAACTGAATAGGAATATCGATACAAACCACCAACCCACACCATACTGAACGTGATTTCTGTCAGACTTTTCGACGTGCCTCCATAATAATGGTCTCAAATCCCTTGAAGACAATGATATCAACATACTTTCCATCCATGCTGCATGTTCATGTGTGAGACATGTGGGTAGTGGATCCACCTAAGTGCACTGTTTCTGCGCAAGCGCACATTAGTTGCAGGGTCATTGCACAGCAGTTTCATTCTAGTGTTCACCCCACGACATATATTAATGACACTAATTTGACTGGTAACTGTGCTGCAGTGATTTATAAGTAGGGTTGCCACCCGTTCATAATTAGTATGGACAGTTCATATTTCAGATGCAATGTCCATACTGCACACTAGTATTACAATATATATGGACACTATATCGTCAATATTTTAAACTTAAGATTTTTTTGTACTATGAAAGGTAGATGGCAGCTAAAACCGCACTACTCCGTGAGATAAAGCAGAAGACTACATTCTTGGTATCAATTGGCGCCTTGGCATAAAGTGGCTGTGGGCATTTGCGGCGTAGTTGCATACACAAGTTTACTTCGAATATCCTTCCATATTTTGTTAAATTCAAAGGTGGCAACGCCTAATTATAAGTCAAATGTGGGGAGTTGGGTCATTCTGTATCATCTTGAAAAAAAAAGTTTCTCAGGCTTTGGAGCAAAAACAATCTTAGCAATTCTGGCGACTAAGGCAGGTTGAAATATAGGAACAAGTACACTCCGACACCTTCTAAATAAAGGAAAACGTACAAAGTTCGGTCCAAGAGTGTCGTCCGGCAGTTTTCGGATGTTAAAGGGGGATAAAGAAACCTAACTACCAGTACAACCCCAATGAAGAAAGCACTGAATACCCAAACGAGTTGCTTGCTTTGTGCTTCCACCCTCTCTTCCCCATAAAAATTTCCATATCTCATTGCTATTCGTGTTCATTACAATCAAGCAGGACTCGGGAAGGGGAGCTGTTGGCAAGTGTGACATCAAATGTGCTTCCTTTGACTGGAATATGGCCATGGAATGATGAATGGGAATTATCTCTGTCAGCTCTCATCAGCTCTGTCGTAGTAGGATGCTAATACACTTTACACTTTTCACTCCTGAAAAAGGCCAACTAATGATCCCTACAAAAGTGGGAGTGCTACCTAGAGTAGTTGTCTAACTCGAGCGCTATGCCCAGTAGAACAACGTAAGTGAATCTCGTTTCCAGACTGTGACAAATGCAACTGTAGCCTGTGTGACAATTCTGTTATTCCTTCCAAATATAGCCACAGTCTTCAATTTTGGCTAGAGTTGTCAAAAGTCAATACGTTTTTGGATCTCAGGAATGTACAGTCGTATGCAGCTTGACAATTAAACTAATGCGTCACCATCGATTTTTCCGACATAGGATTTTTCCCCAATATGGTGGGGTCCCAAACCACTGCGCAGGACTGACGTGCCAGCCTGTCATCATAATCAGGAGCGGATGTAACGTGGAGGGTCGACTGCCCTTTCCCCCCCTTGGATTCATGGGGGAAAATGCCTTACGTGAGTGCTCAGAGCTTCCGTGGGGATCCATCACGTACTTGGAGGATTCCATGCTTACTTCCCTTCTCTCTCCATCCCTTCTCATGCCCTCTCCCTATGAAAAATTAGTGGAGCCACCATTTCTAGCGTTTCTGTTCTTTTGCTGTGCCAGGCAATCGAAATCACGACATCCCACATCAATTTTGATTTACGTATTTCTACTGTCGTGAATTGGGAAGGTCAAGATATTCCTTGAGGTACTTCAGTAAAAAAAAAAAGTTATTACAGCGCATCTTTATATGCACTCGTCGTTTTATATTTTTGTCTGCAACAAAAGTACTCTAGGATTAGTATTTAAAATACTCTCACTTTCGTCCTTCAAATAAAAATATGTGAGCATATTGCCCACATCTGGCGTATAGACACCATTTCTCTCGACCGTCATTCACTGAACGTCAGAGGACAACTGGAGAGAGTGACCATTACCGACTGAAAAACTTCTGAGAAAGAAAAGAAAAAAATCCTGTTGGCTCATCCTTTATTGAGGAGAGTGAAGGATTTATGGAGGAGGGATTACCCAAGTCGTGATGAGCTCGGAGTCCGCGCACGGCGGGGAAGAGAGAGCATTGAGAATAGAGGCGGGGAAAGGAGGATTACGCACACATTCACATACGCAAGCAGAGAGCGAGTCCAGTTCCATTCTTCAGACACAATTCGGGTTAGTCAGGTCTCTCACGGTTCATTATGCAATTGCCGGCGGACTCGCCAGGGTTCCTGTTTACCGCCCACCTTCATCGGCTCCCCACAAACACAAACAGGCTCTCACCGGACGGAGCGATACCCTGAACACTTGTGTCACTTCCCCTTTCGTCGATCTGAAGGTCCACCTTTCTCCTCTCGCCCATGGTCATCGGTTCGGTCAGTGTGTGAGATCAGTGTGTGAGATCGTGAACGAGAAACTTCGCTCCACTAAGACGATGAAGAGGATGAGATTCCTGCAGGTCAGTCCCTTCCTTCCATCATACTTGGCATGTTGCCTGGCACAGCTGCGGGAGCGAGCAGTCCGATGTCAAGGTTCCATAATGGAAGCCACCCCGGA